TGGCTCGGAAGTCTGGCGATGCATGTTGGTCGCCAGTGGCGACCGCGTATCTTCTGGCAACGCCAGCGAGCTGAGGGGCTGCGTCGCCTTAGACCGCGCGGCAACCGGCGGCGTGGTCGCCGGTGGCGGGCATGTATGCGCAGGGGACCCAGGTGGCGTTGAGTTGGATGGGTGTGCTGGCAACGGGGCCTCTTGTGCCGCGGCAGGCGACGGTGCTGTCGCCGGTTGCAGGCCTTCGTGCAGAGACGATGAGGATGTAACCTGCGATGGCGCGGTCGCCAGTGGCGTGCACGGCTGCGCAGACGGCATGGGCCGTGTAGCTGCAGACTCCAGAGCAGAAACGCCGCGCACACTGCCCGCGGATGGTTGCGCTGCGTGACCAACTCGCAGGGAAAGCGGCAGACTACCCTCGCTGTCCGAGTCGGTGTCCTCGGTCGTCTTGGTGGCCTTGCGTTTCCCTTTCCCTAGCTGCGGGACCTCGTCCTCCTCGTCCTCTTCCTCGATGGCTTTCTCGATGCCGCGCTGGATCGCGTCCGCTGTGTTGCCGAAATATGGTTAGTGGTTGTTCATAACCGCACATACGGCGACTCACCAACACATTTGGGCATAAAGAACTGGGTGTGCATTTCTTCCTTGCTGAACGCGATGTTGCTCATGTTCTTCTCGTTGAGGTCCATCGAGAGGGGACGGTAGACGATAACGGGCTTGATCTGAGGACTGCGCCAGACACGCCCTATGAACTGGCGATCGTCCTGGCCAGACCACATGATAGACTACCGATATTCAACGGTTGGGGCCACCAATGGAGCAGATAGCGACTCACGAGAAACACCACAATGTTGGCGCAATCGAGGTTGAGTCCGACAATGCCGACCGACGTCACGATAAGAACGGTGGGCTTCGCATGCTCACGAAACGCCCGTAAAACATCAGCACGCTTGGAAGAAGACATCCCACCCGACAAAACGTAGGGCGTTATACCTTCCCATTCGAGCACCTAATGGATGGGATGGGTTAAGTTATTAGTTACGTTTGCGTAGGCCGCAATTGTCCGGCCGGGCTGCCCACCTTCCTGAGCAACGTCTGCTGCGCTGCAAAGAACACGTACACCACCAGCTTGTCTGGAGTCGACGTGTCCCACAGAGGGGCCTGCTCGCTGTCTGGAGGCAACTCTGGCGAAGGCTGCCTTTGCGGGTCTTCATCCGGTCCTTCAGGGAGCGCTTCAGACGTGCGGGAGATAAATGCCTTGCGATCCGGGATGAGCGTGTTGTTGTAAATATCCCACAATTCATCGCCCTCCCGGATCGTGTCGCCGTTGGTAAAGCTGTTGACCAGAGGAGCAGCACCAGGGGTTGTGATATGGTGCTTGATAATCGTGACCGTGGCGTCGAGCTTCGTGGATGGGGAAGCGCGGTACTCCTCGAGGGACTGAGGTCCTTGCCACGTCGTGTGCTGCTCCTTGACCACCGACCGCTTACCCTTCCTGGTCATGACCCTATCAATGTCCTTGTCCACATGGTAATAGTCTGGATGCGCGAGAATCTTTCTGACCCCCAAGTAGAAACGCTGAAGATACCGTCAGTAAAAAGCTAGCCAAATCGAGAAGTTAATTCTAGGAGGACGTGCAGCGAGGACGCAAAATTCTGTCTCCACGGGCGGACACTATCGCTGAGCAATCATCCGAGCAGCATAGCTCCCAGTAAGTGCCCGCCAGTGGCGACCACCAGTGCGGTTACAGTACGGTGCTTACTGCATCAGCCGGGATGAGTGGACCGCCTGACCGCCGCTTGGCTAGCCGTCTCACGGCTCGCGAGGGTATCCCGCGCGCCGTAGCCGCCACTGGCGAGCAGCGAGCAGTTGGCACTGTCGCCTAAAAAGGACATCAGGCAAACAGCGCAGTCGCAGTACTCACGTTCTGTTCTAAGCCGGTGGCTCCGGCGGAATCCTCCGCGAGCTCCTGAATCGCCGTATTCCCGGCGTCGTTGAGCTTGAGGAAGAGGTATCTGTCGAAAGGCGGTTCCGCGCCCCATATCTTGTTTCCTTGGTAGTCGAGGTTGTCGATCGTTCGCCGTATCGCGTAGCCAGTGAAGATTTTTTGAAGGTCTTGGATGCACTCCTTGTTGGCCTTGTCGAGCTCGCTGGGGCCTGAGCCGCGGCCAAGAAGAGCTCGAGCGCGGTCCACAGTCACCTCTCCCCTGATCTCGTCGCGCCGCCTCTTATCTTGCCGCTTGGCGGCATTGATCTTGCGCCTGAAGTCCTGCCAAATGGCGGCGAAGGAGCAATGCTTGATGAGCATGATTTTGCCGATGTTGAGGAGGTCCTGAAAAGTTCACAATAGTATAATTAATTTAACTAACCGCTGTAGAAAATGTGACACAAATCTCACTTGCGGCCGAGTAACCATCGGAGTCGCGGTTAAAAGAACCGCTGAACCCACAACTCGCGACATCGCAATGAATGCGTTCAGCCGCTGGCCGCTATTGCGGACGTCGTGGATCTCGTCAGCTACGAAGAGGCCGACTCCGGCGTGGTAGAGCGTCGGCAGGTCGCCAGGTCTGACGACGTCCTCTTTCGACTTCACCGCGGCGGCAGCGTCGGACCAAAGAGCCTATTGTGATGTAGTATGTTTGATGGGACACACAGCAGAAAACGAAAACAAACATACCGCCCGAGTGGCAAGAATGACCCGAGTGAAGCGCTTCGTGGACATCTGTTTCCACGCATCCCACCACTCTTGACGCTTTTTCCGATTGTATTGACCGGTGTAAATCACAATGTCGACCGCGCCGTACTTGAGCCAACGTTGAAGCTCGTCCAGCCATTGGTTGAAGAGCAAGGGTGGAACAACAATCAGCACTGGCCCGTCCTTGAGCGTGCCCTTCGTCTTGTTCTCTGCCACAGTAAAAGCGTTAGAATGCAAAAATGAAAATGAGGTTTCGCTGAATATCTGCTCGCCAGTGGCGGGCGCATTAACGGCTCTTAAACGAATCAGAGCTCGATCAGTGAGGCAGTTAAGAACTGCCCGCCGCTGATGGGTAAACCGTGGGAGAGCGGACCGCACTGCGACGCGGCCATGTAGTGCAGCCTGCGCAATGGGCACTAATGCCGGGGTGCCCGCCAGCGGCGACCGCGTCCGCTACTCCAGACAAACAGTTTCCTTCAGCGACCCAAGGCGGTAGCTGATGCTCGCCGCTGGTGGGCGAGCTTGCGCAGATGTACCGGCAGTGAAAGGGACTACGTGACTCACTGAAGACGCCGAGGTGCTCGCCGTTCTTCTCGATCGACTGAAGCGACATGATACGATACGCGATGAGAGCGATGACTTGCAGCGTCTTCCCGACACCGACTTCATCCATGACGAGGAGACTCTTGTTGTCGAACACGGCCTCCGCAAGCCTGCAGAGTCCGACGAGTTGGTGCCATTTGAGGTTGCAGGGGAGCTTATGCTCCTCGGGGCATTCCAGGTGGTTTGTCCATGTCGTATACAGAAGATAAGGATCGCGCCAGTCTGACAGCGGCACGAGCTTTTCATCCATGATTCCCAAGTACTGCCAGAGCTCCGTAGGGTTCTTGTGCGTGAGGTGTTTGAGCTCGGCGTCGAGGTTCCAGTCCGCAAGGATTGCCCGGTCCCCTTCAGCGAACGGCAAGTCCTCGCCATCCTTCTTGTAGCGGTCCAGCGCGTCATTGATCTCGTTCTCGATGTCGTCGACTGCCTCCTGGCTCATCATCTGCACAATAAGACGGTGCGTGTCACTTGAGAGGGCTTAAAATTAACGGAGTCAGCTACTTTTAATCAAACACAAAAGAGGTCGGTCGAACCGCCGCTGTGTTTGCCCTCCATGGAACTCTGCACCGCTCTGAGAACATCTGACAGCTTCTCGTTCTTCTCAATGTCCTCTTCGCGGCGGGTTTGGAGACGGGCCTTAATCAGGCGATTGCTGCTCCGCGTGAAAACGCGGAGAGTCTTCGAAATCTCGCTCTGCTTGAGCAAACGATTTTTGAGCTCTGAAACGCAGTGTCACATGGTATCGGTCAGATTCAGATGTGCCGCGATTAACAAGTAACCACGCACGGTTCTCAGACGCGGCGACGGTTTCCTCGAGCGAGATGATCGTCTTGAGAGCTCGCTTGGCGTGCGTCTTCTGTCCGGAGAGAATGACAGTGAGCAGCGCGATCACCCACTCCCTCTCTTTGATGTTGAAGATCGTCTTTCCGGCGTACTCTTCGTCGAGGAGCTTTTCGAACAACGTAGCTTGGACCTGCCCAGCGATCATTTTGATGTCGACGTCGACCTAATAAAGAGTCGTGACTGTCAATAACGCTACGTGCAGAAATCAGACGTACGCTGTCGATGTCTCGCGGGTCGTCAGACTGCTTGAGATGCTCCCAATAGCCAACCCGGGCGTCATCAAGTACCTCCTGAACAATCGCCCCAACCGACCACGTACTCTGCGACGTCACCTTCTTCTGCCATATTTGGATTGTTTTACGAGCGTGCTCGTCCCCCTCCTTGTTGTTCTTGCCCTTGCCCTTCGAGCGGCAACCCCAGATAGCCTCCGCTTCGTCTTTGCCCTTGGCACCCCGCACCCGCTCGACGAAGTCCTTGATAGCGGCCCTCTGCGCCGTGCTCACGACCATATCGAGAGCGGGGTCATGGTTGTCCTCCCAGATTGGCACCGCAACCCCACTCTTCTGCTGCCAAACATCCTTGTCCCACGGCAAGGCGAAAATCAAGAACAAAGCCCACGTTGCGCCCATGTTGTTGCTGTTGCTGTTGCTGTCGACGATTTACAGAGCTGAGGAGGATGTGTAGCAAAGGCACGTAACCACCCAGCCAGTTCTATATAACCCCCAGGCAACTGCCTCGAGGACGGATCTCGGCTGATCATAAACTTTCTCTAGCGTGTGTCGCTTCTAGCTCGGGAGTAATATGGATTGTTGAGAGAAGCAAACACCCTGCACGTTGAAGCAGCCGGTAGACTGTGACAGAATTGCGCCACCATCATTAAGCGGGATGATCTGCGACGGCTAGCTAATTTGGAGACGAGATAAGACCGGTCGCCGCTGGCGGGCGCACTGCGCGACGACCACGCGCTGCTTATCACAGGTGAGCAGCCAATCATCGCGTGCATGTTTCGTCCCTTAGACGGCAGGCGCGAATGAAAAGGCACATGCCGTCTGCTAAGCTCCTTATAGAGACCGGCAACTCCGATCGGGACATACGATCTACTCGCCAGCGGCAGCCGCATAACACACGTGCTCAATGAAGCGCTAGCGACTCGTGTAGCCGGGATGGCGACGTGCTCTTCCTGCTAGTGCTGATAGCGTGGCACTCGGTCACTAACGGATCGGCTTCACCGGTCTGCGTATGCGCTCCGCTCGCCAGCGGCGACCACACCGCGTACAGGCACAGCCAATGGCCAACGGACCGACGAGGACTAGAGATCGACGCGGTGTGCTCGCTAGTGGTGGCCGTACAGCGCAGTGACGCCGCCAAAGCCGAGCTGTATGCCCGCTCTGGCCGCCAGCGGCGACCACAAAATGCACAGTCGTTGTCAAATGTCAGCAGACCCATTCATTCAAGACACTGGCGCGTTCTGGCCGCCACCGGCGACCATGCTGCCACGGCGCGAATCCTGTGACTTCCTGGCCGACGACGCCGACATTGTAATCCTTACCACAGGCATCATTTACTTGTTGCGGCCATCTCATCAGCTGATGACACGACCTTGCTTGCCGCTGACCGGCACCCTGCTGTGAATCAACAGCGTCAAATGTAGCCTGGTACCCAGGATCGTCGCCATTACACTGCTCACAGCGAATAGCAAGAGATAGTAGGCGATGTTAACTGCCTTTGGCGCAATATATAGCTTGCGGACTAGTTTCAGTAACCGGGCTTCATCCACCACCGGTGTGAGGGGTAAATTTGATAAACACCGACGTACAAACTAGCGGCCGAAAGTTATTAGATGGAATAGCACTGATATAAGCAAGCACTCAGTTCAAGCAAGCAGATAGAAACCTATAAACTATGAACTATGAGAAAAGGCGGGCAAAATAAAAGAGCGTGATTTGTACGACATGAATAAGAAGTCGAGTGATCCAGGTAAGACACGTGAGACCAATAACGAAAGTCGAACCCGGAGAACGTACGATTGGTGCTATTAGTGTAGCCTGAACACAGGTGCAATACCGAATACTTCCATGTCGAAGACAGCGCCTGAGGGAGCGAGCGCGGCGTGCTCAGCGTGGTCGGAAGCCGTCGTGGGCTGTAAGGCTCGTTGGCGCGGGGGCAGAGGAAGCGGGGCAGGACGTCTGATATATTTTGTGCGCGGGGTGGCAGTCCACTTCCATGCCGGAGAAGCAATGGCAGATGGCGGTGAGATGTCGCGAATGCGGAAGGTAAGGAATACGGTGAGTTCCCAGCCGACACGTGATCCACAGACTTCAACTGTGACATGACCATCCCAGAACACCTTGAATCGAACTATCTGCCCCACTAAGTTGATCCATGTGCGCTGAGGGCGAGAGCGGCGGCGGCCCATCCATAGGGATATGAAGTCTCCTTCGCACAGGAGCCCTCGCCAACTACCGTCCAGTTTGGCAAAGACATTCTCATATTGACTGAGATAGGTGTTGACATAAACACGCCGAAAACCGAGTCCTGAGGTAGTGGAAATGTCGTGTGACTGTGCTCGCTGGGAAAGAGTGCGAGAGTCGATGAATGCGCGCATTGCGTCGTATTCCACGCGGTTGTGGCACTTGATGCGACGAGTGACTCCAGGCCACCAGTCAAAACTCGGTCGATCGGCGGAAGGAGACCAGCCAAGCTGGACATCGGCATCGAAAGGAGTGAAAGGCAGCGGGCGAAGAGAGCGAATGGCT